AGTCAGTGACAGCGCTTGACAGCACACATGACAGTTATGAAAATGACAGCAAAAGCATTTTGTGCTGCATTGCCAGATCAATTCTACCAATAGATTTTGAATCATGGAATTTGAATGGTAGATTTTTTTAAAAAGTAAGTAACTGACAACCAGCTGACGACACTAAATTCACTCCGGTAAATAAAATCTTATCGTTTTTCCAGCACGCACACCAATAAATGACGATTTGATAACTGTTTTACTGTCAGCTATTTTGCAAAGTCCCTTCCGCCCACTTCCCTAATGACATTCTTCCGGGTGTACAAATATGCGGATGACATCATTGCTATATATGTAAATATAAACAATAAACAAGATAACTATGAACTAAAAAACGTTATTAAAATCAAGTAGATCCAATATATTACTCATTTTAGCCTCTATTCGGAGAATATAATTACATTATGAATCATATTCCGAATTATTTTCAGTTGAAATAATAAAATTCGGAACCAGGACACACCAAAGGTGTATTTTTAAAAATAAACCGTGAACGTAGGTACAGTGTCTATTTTAGCACCTAATTTTCGAATTTACTCTTGAAAATGAGTGCAAGTAAGCCAGTCGAGGAAATAATGATTGAAGAAAATCATCTGGGGACAGCATATTGAGTATTATTTTCAGTGCCATTAAAAAGGTAAGAAAATCCTCAATGTTCACTTATACCAAAACTTGTTTGCTTCTAGGCCCTTTTCAATTTTCTATTTATGCTTTGTATTAATAGGTATCAAGATCAATTAAAACATTGTTACTCATCCTTGTACTTCAAATTGATGGTCCTGTAGTTAGAAATAAGGAATATAGATTCTAAAATTTAAATAAACAAGGCAAGAATGGACCGATACCACTTCTGATCTTATAAATTTTAATTAATATGCTCATCTATAGTTTCCTGTTAATTGAGATGAATGATAACTATTAAAACTGTGATTTGATTTTTACACATGAGTGGATATTAATTCATAAAAATTCAGCTATTCCAGTAAAATTTGGTTTTTTCTTTAGGTTTCAATAGTGGGTATTGTATATCTAGCAGGGTATATGCAATGGTCTGTTGCATGGTTTATAGGACCTATAGTTTTATTAGTAATTCGAGACCAATGGAAGAAAACAAGTGATAGAAAGCGAAATTTTGCAAAAGTAACATCTTTGTCAAGTGAAAAGGAGGTTGTTTTGGCTAGATTGAATGATTTACCAGCTTGGGTGAGTGATAAGTACCTATTTAGTTTTTTTTCTTAGTTGAATGTATTATAAGTGTCTTAATAAAAAAATGATTTCATGAAGCAATCTTGATTATAATATTACCCAGTAACTCTTAACTTAATGATGTATTTATTTTATATTAAGTGTACAGTATTTAAGTTTATCATACATATTCTAATAGATCTGAAGAAATGTGGTTTATAGATTAGTAGTTTGAAAGATATAGATCATTCAACCAAATAAGGAAATTTGGACATAGAATTCATATTGGTTGTACTGAGATGCACAGAGCTTTTCTTTATGGGCGCCCATCAAAGAGGCAAGAGTGGTATATGCCCCCCTGGCTTCAGCTGAAGAAGGAAAATATTGTGTAACTGAAAAGAATTAAGTTGATTTCAAATATTAAAATCCATCAATCTGTTCAGGCTGTAGACCATGGAAGGAATATAATGTTGATGTTTGTGTAATCCACCATTTCTATTTTCTAAAAATTCAGTATACCCAGTGTTACTCTCACGGTCAAGATAAACAGGGATCCTAGCAACTCACTTTTCAATCCAACTCACTTTTCATTCAACATTCGCTTTCCTCACTATTTTTGCTGTCACTGTACATATTGTGGTTTATGAACGTTTTTGAAGGAGATACTGTCCTTCTCTCAAGCCCCATGAAATTGAATGAGAATCTTTTTTTATAAAAATCAACTGTGACAAAGTTGTACATGTCCTTCCCAAGCTGAGCCAATATGTATTACATGATAAATTACCAGGATTAGTTGAAATCTATGTTGAATTTTAATTCATCTATGATCTATCCTAAAAGCACTCCTTATACAGGGTGTTCCTTAATGATATGCGAATATTTAAGGGTGTGAATTCTATAAGAAAAATTAATGTTAGTTTGCTTTATAAACTATGGTCCAAAAATGTTTCCTTACAAAAGCTTGGGGTGTCGAACCTTTTCTAATATTCATCGTCGTCTTGTTGAAACTGGTTCTGTCCGAAAAGGAACATCTGAAGGTAGACCTCTGAGTGTGAGAACACCTGTAATTAAGGAAGCAGTGCTGCACTAAATCGAAGAACATCCTGAAACGAGAACGAGGAAGATCGCTAGACACTTAAATATTTGTCATCAAATTGTTTGGAGAATTTTGGTGGATTTTTTGTTATATCCTTACGATATTTTAAGAGTAGAGGCATTACTTCCCATTGATTTTCCAAGGCGTGTGACCTTTCGTCAGTGGTATCTTCAAAAAATTACACAAAATCCGCAATTTGAGTCAGTGATTCTGTTCACGGATGAAGCTAATTTTCCTCGAAATGAAATTCAGAATTTCCACAATAATCATTTGTGGGCAGAAGAAAATTCCTATACCGTAACCGAAACCCATTTCCAATACCAATTTTCGGTTAACGTATGGGCAGGAATTATTGACAACCACTTTATTGGCCCATTTTTCTTGCCGGGACAACTTGACGGACAGACTTACCTCAATTTTCTTCAACAACAGTTGCCTTTGCTGCTTGATGATATTCCGTTAGTAATAAGAAACAATGTGTAGTACATGCATGACGGCACACCAGCGCATTTCAGTGTAGCGGTTGGTAATTATTTACAAACCGTTTATCCAAATCGTTGGATTAGCCACGGTGGGCCTTAAGAATGGCCACCAAGGTCCCCAGACCTCAACAGTTTAGATTTCCTTTTGTGGGGCTATCTTAAGATACTAGTATACACAAGTCCCATTAACTCTGTAGAGGAATTAAGAGACAGAAAGTTGCAGCTTGTGACAAAAAACACTCCAGGGATATTTCAACGAGTGCGCAATTCCATGAGAAGGAGGGCGGAATCATGCAAGTGAAGGGTCCATTTTCAACAATCTTTGTAATCAATTGGTTGGTTTTAATGTTATGTTTATATTGTCAGTTGTTGTTGTTCATTACCCCTAATGTGTTTAATTTTTCCAATTAAATTAATAATAATTTTGCAAGTTAGAGAATATAACGGTTTTTATTTTTTTACTCAAAAATGGCGCATCGAAGGAAAACAATTCAAGAGAGATCATTTGTTTTAAATTGAACGGGAAATTCAAAAATAATTTTTATTTGGCAAAATCATTGGTGTACCATTTTTTTCTTAAAAAATATCGAAGTCAATACCCGTACGCACGCCCCTGTTAGAGCAAAAAATTATTTTTGCATTTAAAAATATGGAACTTTATTAACTTCCACTACGTACTAAATATCATTGGAATATCTGAAGCGGTTCTGAAAATATTAAATAATTTCCATTTTTTTCCTAAAACTTCAACACACCATGTTTTTGTAAGGACACTGTATATGCACTGGGGATCTTGAATTCTAAAACGCTAAGCAATACAATGCGAAGTCGTTTATAAAAGCAAAGTTGCGCATTCAGGTAACTAATAAAATGTTACTTAGATAGTTTGGCAATTCAGATAGTATTTTTGGAGAGATGGAAAATACAAATTCACCCTGAATCATTATCATTTTTTTCTGGCTTAATTTGAGCTGGGATTGCATTAACTGTGGCACTATTTACAAGCCTTGTACAAGTAACTGTTAGTATATTAATTTGCTAATATGCATGTGTGGGACAAATCCTGAAACCGAATTGGCGATTTATCAGTTCCATAGTCACCTCTATAATATAGGCATCAGATGAAACGGCTTCAGAGAAACACAACGAGCAGTGTCGTCATTTCAAATCAAATATGTTGGCATTTATAATTTCTGTAGATATGGTTATCGTCTGAAAGTGCTTAATGAGAGAGATGCAGTAAACAACGTGACGTCTTTCTAGGTCCAATATGGCGGCTGCCGCAAAATATCGATTTATAATTGCCATATTTACCCCATATTAAGGTTATGAAGTGAAAGGAATGATGAGAGAAACACAATATGCAAAGTGACGTCATTATAATCCAATTTGGCGGACGTTTAATATGATAATTGACATTACAATATAATTATGACATGGGGATCTTCAGATGAGGAAGCCAGAAAGTGGTCCTGGGAAGCTATCGAATAGAGCTTCACTTGATTCATAAAGATAATACCTTAGTATTACGGTATGATGATTAATTGTGTCGACTATTGTGTGAAACATACTCATCTACAATAACTATATAATTATGACATGGGGGATCGTCTGATAATGAAGCCTGAAAGTGGTCCTGGGAAGCTATCGAATAGAGCTTCACTTGATTCATAAAGATAACACCTTAGTATTACGGTATGATGATTAAGTGTGTCGACTATTGTGTGAACAATACTCATCTACAATAACTATATCAAATTTCAACTTATCAGTTGAGCAAGAATACTTGATAGATATAAGTACGTCTCTCGTATTTAAAAAAATTGTTATATTTTTTATGTTTCTTTTATGCATTGTATTCATTAACATAAATAGTTATTTTTGTTTACGTCAATAAAAGAGTAACAAAGACCTTATAAGACTTATTTTCGCTTTTTCCACACACTCTTATTTGCATTATCTGTTTATATTTATTGGCATTATGATATTCAACTTATCAGAAAATTGACTCACTTTTTTATGTACAAACTACCATTTCTCGCTATTTTCTCAGTACTTTTTGAAAATGTGACTTTTGTAACTTAAATTCATGCTTTGGGCCGCCAGCATCACTGGACAAAGCTAGAAGCACCTCATATGCCATACTCCCTCCAACTTCTTCAACTGTAACCCATAAAATGGGAATTTTGAGGTAAACATTTTTTATTGAAATTGATCATTTTGGTTTCATAAAAATGATTATAGCTATTCCAGCTGTAAACTGTGAAATGATGATTTCAAGGTTGAGATTTTTTATTAAAATCCGCCATATTGATTTTACAAAAATTAGTATTCACACTAGCAACATATCTCTTATGTAACCCCCCTTGCTTCATGGGCGCCTATGCTTGTCGTTTTTATAAAAGGAGTACACTAGAAGTATTGATGTTTACATTTTGTAGCCGAGCTCACATAATTAAATATTAATTTATGTTTTGTTTTAATAGGTTTTCTTCCCAGACATCGAAAGAGCAGAATGGCTAAATAGGGTAAGATATTGTGGGTTGTCTTAAAATAGACACAGAGTTGATTATAAGTTCAAAATTGACTTCTGGAATAGGATGTCTTCAACAAGATTTTCCATAGACAAAAATGATTCTCATTCACAGTATTAAATAACGTATTTTTAACAGTACCATAAGTTGAAAAAATTAGATTAATTCTATGGAGCTCTACATTTGTGGTGTTTGCTTTTGAATTACACTGATAAACTCAGAATTTGTGACATGACAATTTTGGCTGTATCTTATGTATTTTGAGACCCGTAAATCAAATCTAAAAACAGAATTTTTCTATCACCCACAGATATTCGGTAACATCTACTTTTATGAATTGCAATACGTAACATCTCATTTTGCTGCATTTCACTGCGTTCATGCGATGACGCACATATATAATGTTAAGGCCTATCTATTCCTGTTTACTATATGCGATCTCTATGTTTAGAGAGCATATTGCATTTATTAGTAGACTAATAGCAGCCGAGTCAGTTACGTTTTCTGTGTTGAAGAGTACTGAGATGTTCTGAGTAGGTACTGTTAATTTTTGTTAAATTGGTGTGTTGTTTTCAGCTTATTGTAATCGAGATGGACAATGCCTAGAAATTGTCTGAATAGTGCGAACAGTTTTTGTTATGTGTGCGGAGAGCGAACTTTTGAATCCGAAAAACGTACTTTTACTCCCCTTGTGTTGAAAGCATACGAACTTTATTTTATAATTAAAGTTGGCGACCGAGATAAACTATGGCCCCTCATATATGTTGTAAGACTTGTGTAACGTTGTTAACAGGTTAAGAGGCGACAATCGTAAAATGCCCTTTGTGGTTCCAATGGTTTGGAGAGAACCGAGAGACCATACTACTGATTGCTACTTTTGCCTCAAAAATATTAAAGGTATTGGACCAAAATCGAAACATGTTGTTAAGTATTTTAACTTACCATCAGCTTTGCGGCCCGTTAAGCATAGTGATAAACTTTCTGTCCCAGTTCCACCAGAATCTTGGTCTTTGGATGAAAAAGTCGAATCCACCGATTCTGAAAGTGATGGTACAGAAAGCGTAAAATTTTTCGATCCTTCGTTTGACCTGCCAGGATGTTCAACAGCGCCGCATTTGATCACACAGCGCGAACTTAATGACTTAGTTCGAGAATTAAATCTGTCAAAATACCATTCAGAACTTTAGCGTCAAGATTAAAAGGATGGAATCTTCTCCACGGTGATGTTAACATTACTCTTTACCGAAACGGCAACAAGACTTCACGCACTGTTTCCGTCAAGAAAGGGAGTTGATATGCTCCGATGTCAAAAATTTGTTTGACGCATTAGGACGGAAACATGATCCAAATGATTGGTGGCTGTTCATTGATTCCTCTAAGCTTAGTTTAAAAGCGGTATTGTTCCTCAACGGTAATAAAGGATTATGTATTTGACAGTGCTCTAAATGAAACTGAATTAAGAGCTAGGAATGCTTTTAAATTATTTACTGCAAATTTTTTAGACAATGTGAAGGTGGACAATTATAAAGATATTGTGAGTGAACTAATCGATGCTTATAAAAAGGAATACGATGTAACATGTCTCTAAAAATTCACTTTTTGGATTCTCATCTCGTTTTTTTTTCGGAAAATTTAGGTGTGGTAAGTGATGAACATGATGAACGGTTCCACCAAGACATTTCTGCTATGGAAAAACGGTATCAAGGCAAATGGAGTGTCAATTTGCTTGCTGATTATTGCTGGACATTGTTAAGAGATACTTCAGGAGCAACATATCGCCGTAAAACATCGGCAACAACAGTCTGAGATTTCTGAGATTAATGGTTATTCGAGTGTTTATTAGTACTCTTACACACATATCCTTATATTTTACGAGTATAAACAGCAAATACAATGTCTTATTGCAAGAAAATTGTGGGTGATAGAAAAAATCTAATGCTATTTTCGGCTTTTTGGGTACGTTTTACATAATAACATAATAATTTATAACTTTTTTATTCTTTATGTAACTGATTTGTGACGATTGTTGACTGTAGATTAAGAGCTCGCGTTTGGTGTTCTTGATAGCTCTTTAGTGGCCATCTATTGCATCTAGTGGTTATTTTGAATATTCATGTTGCTATGTTTTAGGAAAGTAAGCCTCAGTTATCTAAAATATTCAGTGCTTTTCAAAAAGGCCCCTGTCTACTTCATTTCATCACTCCAAATTCCATCTTACTAACTTGACCCGTTCAAAAATGAGTATGGGAGCTTTTTGAAAAGATCTGAATATATCCGCCAGTCAACTGCAATGAGGAATATAATCGAACATATAATCAGTTGTAAGTCCATTTCACGCATTAAGTAATAATTTGTTCATAATTGTTCACAGATTATAAAACAAGTCTGGCCAAATGTGAACCATTTTGTCCGTCAAATGGTTCGAGATAGTATTCAACCAGCTTTGAGAGAGAGCTTGGAAAAGTACAAACTAAGTGGATTCAAGTTTGAAAGAATTATTCTTGGGACAGTGGTATGTGTACAAATGTTAATTTCATAATAGGGACGTTAAAGTTCTACAGGGTAGACTATGACTTCTCCAGAGTAATTGTAAATTACCTGGAAATGTTTAGTACTACAGCTAGTGGAATTTGCTATCTACAAGATATATGCTATTCCACAGGCTTTTGACCGAAGAGTTTTTGAAAATTGCGATATTTGCATAGACACACACCAGCGTAAAGTCGAACCCCTGTAAATTGGCTATATTGTGCTTAAACATTTTTCAACATATGGAAATATTTCTGTTGGTCTAATTTTTTGGAATGTTAACGAATTTATAATCTACCCTGTATAACGAAGAACCTTTAATCACTAGTTTGAAGTATGTTAAAGTTTGCACCTATCGCTAATTTTCGTTTGTTGATGCATGAGCCATTAGAAAGCTTATTTTGTAGCACTTGCGCTGTTAATAGCCGTCTGTTTTTTCAGCCATTCCGTATTGGAGGAATAAAGGTCTATGACAAAAACATCGACAGGAATGAGATTGTCATGGATTTAGATATATTGTAAGTACCAACATGATTACTTTAAACTTTGTTTATCAGTATTTTTTTGCAGTTATGCAGGTGATTGTGACATCACATTTCACCTAAAAGGGATGAAAGGAGGAATACGTGATTTTCAGGTATGTTTTCTGTAAGTAATGCATAACATTCGGGGCATTAGACAAAGTGTTGTATTTATAATAATAATAATTTATTGGTGCTAAGTACACGTCAAAGAAGAAAATAATGGATTATTGTTCTTGATAATACGCCATCTTGCTCGATGACTATTGCTCGCATTATTTGTGTATTCATGACTGGCTTTCTTTTTAGCATTTGGAATATGGAATCTGTACCTGTTTTTAAAAACAATGATGTATTATTTATTAACAAAAAGAGGGCTCTCATGTAATGAAGATTAGGATTGAACGAGCTTATACTCGTCTTATTATTATTATTGTGATTTGTATTTTCCAGTTACACGGAATGCTCAGAGTTGTGATGAAACCACTAATTACAACTATACCGCTTGTTGGAGGGTTGCAGGTGTTCTTTTTAAACAATCCGGATATTGATTTCGATCTGGTTGGCATAGCTGACGTTTTGGATATGCCTGGACTCAGGTAAATAAGCTGTTCCTGTGCTTATAGAGGGATTATATTAAATTTTATTCCAGTGATATTTTGAGACGAATTGTGGTCGAAACTATTTCGTCTATGATGGTGTTACCGAATAAGTTTCCTATAAAACTTAGTGATGAAATCGAAGCAGCAGAACTGAAGGCTCCTGATCCAGAGGTAAAAACCTCCTTTATTTTAGTGTAATTTCAGTATCTTATTTTCTGTGTTTATCGAAATTCTATTATCATAGCAGTGCAATCGCCAAGGATTTCGAAAATGAGATGTTATCTTCTTAGGATGTTACATGCCATGTACAGTCTGATCGCCAGTTTTGGCCTAAAAAACAAAGTTGGAATCGCTTTAAAAAATACCTTTCAAGGTCTTGTAGTGCAAGGTTTTAACTTTAATTTAGATACTTGGCGACATCAAATATCATAATTTTTCGTTCGTTCGTAAGCATGGAATATAACCCCACGGTAATCCAGATCAAATTTGTTCAAACAAGTTTCTTACATAACCTCACTTGCTTTTGCCAGCTCAGCAGTTGCAGTTACAAATTTCTCGTGGCAAATTTCATATCGTATCATGCGGTCATAACATAAACTAGCCCCATAGGACTGCTAGGGTCATTATCTAGGAGCTAGGTCATATTTGAGGCGATGGATAATTTCGCTTTTGTTCGCCTCAAACCTTCTTACGATTACTTATTACTACTTAACTCGAGAAGATAGGCTCACTTCATGATCGAATTTCGTATGCCTTTGCGCATGACGCCACTCAGTGACAACTGATCGGCACGGGTTTTACTTATCTTGAAAAGTGACATTTTGTCGGTTTTTTGAGATTCTAAAGGTTTTTTATGACAACGTGGTTTTTCTACAATATGTCAACTTATCACTAAGTACACTTGTTGTGAACTCGTTTTGTAGCTGTACGTGTTGCCTAAACGTCATGATGCTTCAGCTATCAATGTTTGGATCTGATGTGATTGTGATAGTGCATAGGTGCATAGTGAGGATTTGTGTACCAATAATCTGTGTTGATGATGATTCCATTGGTTTCTTGTCTCAAATACACTTACTCGAGATGTATTCAAAGCTGGAAATTAGTTGCGCATCCACTTTTTCTCATTCATTCTAGAAATTACACGATATGCAGATTTGCTGGATTTTAAAAATGAGAGAGATAAGAAAAGAAAATCCCTGGTTGGTCAAGTAATTAACTTTATGTGGAATCTTATATTTTATGCTTACATACTGCCAAATGTTGCAATTATATTCACTTTACACTGTCGGAGGCGGTGGTGGTTTCCCGTAATCCTCCTCAAGGTTTTTGAAAACAAAAAAACGGGAAAAAATCGTAATTTATAACATAACCTGTCTCAAGCAAGTACAACATATAAATTACCCGTCGGGCACAGCTAATAAATATACTTCATTGGCAGCATATTCAGTAATAATTTTCTCACATAGCAAATATCACTGATTTTATACACATGCAGACCAATAAACATAATCATCAAGATGCGATGTTGTTACTCAACCAACTTTTCTTTTTTCACATTTTCTCATAGATAAACATTACTGGGCTTTCCGCAACCAACAATGCATGCTTGAGCGTGTCGTGTCGTTGAGTCACTTCTCCAGAGATGGACGCTTTTGATCACGCTCACAGCGATCATAGCGAGCAAACGAGGAATGAATTATTTGCACACCAAAAGACACCTAGTCTGCAAGATGACATTTTGTCGTTTTTTTTTTTACTTAAAGGCTGTGTGATACAGGAAATAACATAGAAATCTTCCAAAATCAATTTCAAAATTAAAAAATAAGTGGCTGGAGGTCAGTCGAAATAGGTCCCTTTTTTAATCAGATACAAAGGTTGACTCAATTGCACAATAAGGAAAATCAGCCCAAGAAAATCAATGACGAAAGGCAGACCAAAATCTGGTTTCGCTGATAGTTCTGAGAGAACTGAAATATTAAAAACTTTCGAACAACGAACCAGCACGAGCGCCCAAGAATTGACGTATGCAGAAATGAAATTAAGAGCAGAAGGAAATGTCAAAGCTGCAAGAATAATTAAAGATCAATTTAACCTAGGATTCGTTCTGACAGACATCATTTTTTATAAAATTTTTAAGTAGTTCTAAAATCATATCGTATTTTTTGTCATGTTTTAAATATATTTCTGTGTTTTTTTATATCCTTATTTTTATTTGTTTGTTTGCTTGTTGAAGATTTATTTATCTTTAATGCTTCAAAGTCAATTTCGTATAATTATTCGCTTACACATTTTTCTTCAATCCTTTTTCTGTAATTTTACATTCCTGTCTATTAAAATTACATCACTATGCATTTTGAATATTTATAAAGCAATTTTTCAATTTCACCTCAAACATTTTTAAATTCGAACACTATTCAATTTATTACGTTCAAATACTTCCTTTTGAAATACGGATTTGTTAGTTATTCTATTACAATTTTGCAGATGAAAATCTATACTGCCTCTAGTTTCGTAGTTCTGATAATGACTATTTAATTTTGTGAAGTTTTCTAAATGTGGTGGTTATAAATGATTTTTTAAATTGAATATGAAAATGAGAACTAAATAACATATGAAATGTTTCACATTCAACCACAGTAGGTCTTCTAACTGATCCTAGCTTATATAAAATGATTCTCATAGCTTCATTTTGTAGAATTTGTAATTTTGAATATGCTGTCATTTGCTGTAAACAAGATGGCTGAACAACATAAAAAATGGGGAAAAATTATAGTGTTATACACAATTTTTTTGGAGTACATTCTATGATTATCGGAAACTCTATAGAAGTAATTTATCTTTTATGATATTTTTTAAATTATGTATTCATCATGCTCGTGAAACAGTAGTTTATTATCCACATACCCATATATTTAAATGATCCGACTACTTAAATTTTTTCATCATTATTCATGGTCACCTAAATGTTTCCCTATTGACATACTTTTTGATTTGTTGGTGTTTAATTTATCTTTATTAACTTTTAACCAATTCATAACTTTTTTAATATCACTAGTTAACAGTTCTAAAGCAGTGTCCAAATGCTTATGTGCTATATGTATAGCAATGTATCCTCCGCAAATATTTGAATTTTGCAGTCTTCATTTATATAAATAATAAAAAGTAACGGCCCTAATTTACTCCCCTGTGGCACCCCTACCGATATATTTTGAACGCTTGACATAATATTTCCAACTTTAGTTTTTTGTCTTCTGTTCACTAAATAATTTGGTAATTTGTTTAATACTGATCCTTTAAAACCATAGTGATGTAATTTGTTTAACAATGTTTCCCTATCTATAGTCTCAAATGCCCTTTTGAAGTCAAAAATGATGTTACAATACATATACTTTTTCTCCAGTCTTCCACTACCATTTGGATTGCAGTTTCTGTAGAACATTTATTTCTAAATCCAGCTTGCTTTTTTGTCAAAACCTTGTTTCCTTCAATTAATCCAATAATTTGTTCATATATACTAAGCGACATATAAATCCGAACACCCAGTTTAAATGGTTTTATTTTAATAAAATTTTGTATAAGTACTTAATGAAGTATAATAAGTAAATGATAAAAATTTCAAAATGATTGCACTGCTTTAAAGCCCTTTGACCTTTAATAATGTGTGGATGCACCCTGATGTGTTACGCATTCTCCAACGCGCCTAGGCATGCTTCTGATCAGGTGGTCAATGTCCTCCTGTGGTATCTCATTCCAGGCAACCACCAACTCCTGTCGAAGTGCTTCTAGAGTCTGAGGAGGACGTTGCAATCTCCTACCCATCATATCCCACACGTGCTCAATTGGGGATAAGTCGGGAGATCTTGGTGGCCATGGTAACAATGTGACATCATTATGTTGAAAGAAGTCTATTGTGACTCTTGCAACATGTGGTCGGGCATTATCTTGTTGGAAAGTTGGATCTGCCAGGGTGTCAAGATAGGGTAAAAGATGGGGTTCTAGAACTTCGTGGATATAACGCTGCGCGTTCATGTTACCTCTGATGAAGATTAAAGGTGACCTGGAACCATAAGCTATAGCACCCCAAACCATAACTTCAACAGTTTGATGAACATGTCTTTCAACAAAAAACTGTGGATTCCTCCTTTCACCACGTCGCCTTCTAACCCTGGCACGACCATCGTGCATGCCTAAACAAAATCGAGACTCGTCACTAAAGACAATACTGTTCCATTCCTGATCCCAGAGTGACCGTTGTCTGCACCACTCAAGGCGATTACGTCGGTGTTCTCGAGTTAAAGGGAGGACCCAGTGTGGCCGGTATGAAAACAAGCCAAAACTTCTCATTCGTCGGTAAACACTTCGCATGCGAATAGGTCTTCCGTGTTCTGCAAACCATTCATTTGCAATGGACCTGGTAGTGGAGAAACGGTCCCTTAAGGCCAATAATCTTAGGCGGCGATCTTCACGGTCTGTTGTTCTACGGCGGCGTGCAGTGCCCCTTGCTCTTTGCGTACGGCCTTCTCGAAGCCATGCCTGACAACACCTAATCACAGTGTCTACACTTCTTTGCACTCTAACTGCAATTGCCCGAAAAGAAAGTCCAGCTTCCCGAAGCCCCACTATACGGCCCCTATCAAACTCACTAAGTTGACGAAATCGTACAGGTCTCCGTACTCTAGGCATCGTAACCGATCGTAAAGGATGTCAAGAACCAAAATCCGCCAACGTTGATTCTTTACTGCGGCTGAAATATTCATTTTTAGAGCGTTAGTGAATTAAAAAAAAGCAGTAAAAAAACCGGAATGTCCAACTGATAAGGCTGAAAATTTTTTCACTTGTTATTTACAGTAAGATAAATACATTCACCAACTTTTATTAAAATAAATCCATTTAAACTGGGTGTTCGGATTTATATGTCACTTAGTATATATATATATATTTTAAGTTCGTATTCGTTTATTGTTTTTTAAAGTATATAATACTGACATCGGTGGCTGTTCAAATGATGGCTTCGTGCACAATCCTTCCTTTAACGCCCAAATAAGATATTGCAAATACACTTCCGGCATTAGGAGTTTCCGATACTTCTTTCTCGTTCAGTTTTAGACGTGAAGTTGTGACGAACAAATTCGCTGAATCTGGGCCTCCGAAACACACGGAGGTACAATACTTTA